CTCTCCTCCCCTTCTCTTATCCCCTTCCCCTTCTATTTTCCTGTAGAGCAGGATAGACTTCTGTACCCCATTTCCTGTATTTCTTATTTCCCAGGTGCATGTGAAAACATTTTTTTTAAAACATGTGTTTTTAAAACTTTGAGTTCCAAATGTTCTCCCTTCCTCCCTCCCCTACCCTCATTGAAAAGGCAAGCAACTCAATATAGGTTGTACATGTGCAGTTATGCAAAACACGTCCATAGTAGACATGTTGTGAAAAAAATAACTCTGTTTCACTTATTCCTATCCTGCCCTCCCATTTATTCTATTCTTTCTTTTGACCCTGTCCCTCCTCAGAAGTATTTACTTCTGATTACCCTCTTTCCCAATCTGCCCTCCTCTCTATCATCCCCGTGCTCTCTTGTCCCCTTCTCCCCCTATTTTCCTGCAGGGTAAGACAGATTTCCATATACAATTGAATGTGTATGTTATTCTCTCCTTAAGCCAAATCCTATGAGAATAAGATTCCCTCATTCCCTCTCACCTTCCCCTGTTTCCCCTCCACTGTGAGAGACTTTTCTTTTCTGGTTTGTTTGGTGTTTTTTTGTGAGATAATTTACCCCATTCTACCTCTCCCTTTCTTCTTCTCCAAGTATAATCCTCTCTCATCCCTTAATTTTATTCTCCAGATATGACCCCTTAATCTTCAACTCACCCTGTACCCTCTATCTATCTATCTATCTATCTATCTATCTATCTATCTATCTATCTATCTATCCATCTATCTATCTATATACACATACATATAATTTTTTCCTCAACTACCCTAATACTGACAAAGGTCTCATGAGTTAAAATATCATCTTTCCATGCAGGAATGTAAACAGTTCAACTTAATAAGTCTCTTGTGATTTCTCTTTCCTGTTTACCTCTTCATGTTCCACTTGAGTCCTGTATTTGAAAGTCAAATTTTCTATTCAGCTCTGGTCTTTTCATCAGGAATGCTTGAAAGTCCTCTATTTCACTGAATAACCCTTTTTTCCCCTGAAGGATTATACTCAGTTTTGCTGGGTAGGTGATTCTTGGTTGTAATCCTATCTCCTTTGCCCTCCGGAATATTATATTCCATGCCCTGCGTCCTTTAATGTAGAAGCTGCTAAATCTTGTGTTATCCTGATTGTGTTTCCACAGTACTTGAATTGTTTCCTTCTGGCAGCTTGTAATATTTTCTCCTTGACCTGGGAACTCTGGAATTTGGCTACAATATTCCTAGGAGTTTTCCTTTGGGGATCTCTTTCAGGAGGAGATCTGTGGATTCTTTCAATTTCTATTTTGCCCTCTGGTTCTAATATATCAGGGCAGTTTTCCTTGATAATTTCTTGAAAGATGATGTCTAGGCTCTTTTTTGATCATGGCTTTCAGATAGTCCAATAATTTTTAAATTCTCTCTCCTGGATCTATTTTCCAGGTCAGTTGTTTTTCCAATGAGATATTTCACATTGTTTTCTAATTTTTCATTCTTTTGGATTTGTTTTACAGTGTCTTGATTTCTCATAAAGTCACTAGCTTCCAATTGCTCTATTCTAATTTTTAAGGAAGTATTTTCTTCAGTAATCTTTGGACTTCCTTTTCCATTTGGCCAATTTTTCTTTTTAGGGCATTTTTCTCCTCATTGGCTTTTTGGACCTCTTTTGCCATTTGGGTTAGGCTATTTTTTAAGGTGTTATTTTCTTCAGTATTTTTTTGGGTCTCCTTTAGCAAGCTGTTGACCTGTTTTTCATGATTTTCTTGCATCACTCTCATTTCTCTTCCCAGTTTTTCCTCTACTTCCCTTACTTGCTTCTCAAAATCCCTTTTGAGTTCTTCCAAGGCCTGGGACTGATTCATATTTTTCTTGGAGGCTTTGGATGTAGGAGCTTTGACTTTGTTGTCTTCTTCTGGTTGTATATTTTGATCTTCTTTCACCAAAGTAAGATAATATAGTCTGACTCTTTTTGCGCTGCTTGCTCATGATCCCAGCCAATTACTTGAGTTTTAAACTCTTTGTTAAGGTAAGAGTCTGCTTCCAATGTGGAGAGTGTACTGTCCCAAGCTTCAGGGGTTTGTATAGCTGTTTTCAGAGATACTTGTAGGGACCTGTAAATTTTCAGTTCTTCCCAGGTGGTATGATAAGGGGTAAGGTGTTTACTCCTTTCCTGGCCTGTGACCACAAGTATCCTTTCTGTCCTGTAACTGTGAGGAGGGGTTCCTCTCCACAGCCACTACAAGCTCCACCAGCCAGCACTCCTCACCCCAGCACCCCCCAGAACTGTGACCAGCCACACACACACACGGCAAAGCAAGAGATTCCTGCCTCAGCACTGGCAAAGAGATCGCTGCAGTCCCTCTCTGATCAGCCACTGGATTCCCCCTCACTCTGTGGGCTGGAAGCTCGGGAAGCAGCTGCATCCCCCAGGGCCGTGCTCTTGGGGAATGGAGCTGAAACCCCGCCTTCCTCTCTGAGCACCGACAGAAACAGACTTTTCCCACTGACCTTCTAAGTTGTCTTTGGCATTCGTGGATTGAGGAGTCTGGAAACCTCCACAGCTGTCCCTGATTCAGTCCTTTGAGGCCTGCTCCAGGTTCGCTGAGGCCTGCGCTCCCACGCCACGCTGCGCTGTACTCCCAGCCTGGCTCGATACACCTTTCTGATCAATCAACCAGGTTGTCTTGGGCTGGAAATTTGTTTCACTCTGTCTTTTTGTGGGTTCTGCTG